CCCCCCCCCCCGGCCCTCTACCCCTCAATCAAAATTATCCTGCACGCAATAATCGTGTGATCGGGTGGTTTGATATCGCATTTGTCTACAAAATATCTTACTTTCATAATCCTTTGCATAATAATATTGTATATTATTTATTTCAAGTCGTTTGTTCTAGACTCTCATTAACTCGAATCTCTCAATTTTCCTCGAAAGTTCGAGATATCGGGAATCATATCAAAACGTATCAAATGGCCTGTTGGCCTGCGTCAACAGAGGAATTCAATGCAAACTACTAGCCCTTTTGATCTTGGTAATTAAAGGGTTGAAATATTTCATTTCTGATCGAGAGCGATTTCATGCTTCGCAAGAAACAAAACCACGGAACAACTCAAACTAAAAAGAACGAATTTGGAAGAGCCATGAAAAAGGGCGATACGGGTTGGGGAAAAACTTCGATAAATTGTTAAAATGCTAAACAACAAACAGGAAAGAGCACAAGCTAAATTGCCCGATAAGAATGATTCTGCTTTTATAAAAGAGAGAAAAACTAAATTCTCACCCACTCCTAAAGCTGCATGTTTCTCCGCCGAGAAATATTGAAAACTTCCTGTCTCGTTTTGTCCATTACTGTTTTTATGATTTTCAAAAAGAGCATCGTCTACAATTGATCAGTTTTGAAATTGCGGTCAACAAAAAGCGATTGAATTTCCGGTTCCCCAATGCTGCATGTAAGGAAGTCACGTCCGCCTTCAATCCATGTCAAGTATACAAGACACCTGTGATCCAGCTATCAGTCAATCTCCTCGAATTTCTTGAAATTAACGAATTCTCATGCCGTGTTTCACTGCATCATCTTCTTCAAATTAAACTCCTGAAAAAAGTACTGATGTATAGATCATTTAATAGATCTGATTGAACAAAAGCTGCAGAATCTTATATTAGGTAGAAAAAAAAGCTTCAACGACATGACGGAGTTAACTGAAAAGCTGATATGCAACCGAGGAAAGTTTTTTTCGACATAGGTGGGTCTCCTAGGCACGCTGCGGCAACAAAACCTAAACGAACCCGATTCAACAAGTACGAGGGCAAACAACCCTGGTTCCCAGGATCTCTCTTTTTCCCGCAACATGGCGCGAGGGTGGGACGGAAGAAGAGAGATCTTGGGCACGAGGTTGGAGGATCAATTGTCCATTTAGCACGGCATCATGGAATCTATTTGAATTATATGATAAAAAATCGAAATTTTGTGAATGGCGACCTCATCTATTAAGTCAAAATGCACGTATTATCCAGCCTAGCATATGACATGCACAGTAACGGTCATGATCTCCGATGAAACTCCAATCCAATTGTTTGCCGATTATCCAACCACAGAATATAAAAAATGCGCTGTTCGTGTTTGAATAAAACCTATTGGTTTCCCGGATAATATATTTTTGTTTGCAGTCTTCCGTAAAACGATGAATTTCCAGTTTTCTGTATTCAAGGGTGAGATCGTAAATTTTGCTAAAATGCACCTGATCCCTTAGTTTGGCTTAGATAGGACAATCTGTGTTTAATTGAAGGGGTGACATTACATCTATCTCTTTGATATGCTATAAGAATTTTCAATTGTGAATTTGCGACTAGCTAAGAGAAATGCAGTTTTTAGGTAAAACAACGTACAACGGAGGCAATGCTGAGTAAAAAAGGGTTGCTTTTAATAGTGTAAAAGCTAAAAAATCATGTTTGCCTCTGTATAATTATTAAAAGCTATTGTGATGAAAACGTAGACATTTACCGAGAAATGCGTCTCCGGTCAGTGCTTTACATCGGCTGCAGCTCAAGCTGTTTTGGAGTTCTGTATGCTACGACGGTTGATTGACAAATGTTCTAGTAATATTTAAACCTCTCTTTTTATAGCGCGCCTTCGTAAGGTAAATAGTGTAACCAATCAGCGAGTAGTTTTTTTCCGACTAGAGGAAGGCTGGGGAGATAAAGAAATTCCCTAGGGGGTGGGCGGGTAGAATGACAGCCTTCCTCAATCACCGACCGTTGGCCATTTTAGAAACTGAGAGAGGTACTATCGAAAATGAGTAATAATTTCGAGAGTAGTGAAGTGATTCAACCTTGAGTACACCCACTAGTGAGAAAAATCGTAGGACTAATGGGATTGCTTCTCATCAAAGACAGACGATTTTTATTCAGTGAGTTTGCACTGAGTAAATATCAGCACTTATATCATAAATGGTATAATTATTAGATTTTACTACTGAGCATGTTTTGAAAAAATGTTTTAAACGAATAGTGAAATAATCAAATTTTATTCCATACAACCACCACTGCTAAATCATTATCGGTCAAACTAGTGTAGTGCAGGTAATTATCTGCAAGATTTGAATCATATTGCACAATTACGATCGTACGCAATATTGCATCACACTTGCCTCTCTTATAAAATTTACCGTCACTATCCCGTTAAAGGTATAGTGCTTTAGGGCCTGTTTAAATGGATGTGGGAGACCCCAGGTAGGTGAAGAAACCCGCCTAGCCGTGCGTGGAAAATATCCCGCGATGTTTACATCCAATTTCTCGCGGTTATCACACTTGCTAAAGAGGTCACTATAGCGACGCGAGGTTAAACGCTACTGTTTAACGTTGAACATTCAAGATATTGAATCGTCTACTACGATCGATATGTTTACCGTCGCCTTTACTTGAACAAGAAGTAAATCGTCATGCATTCCGCGAGAATAAGATCATATTTTTGCATATTGCTCAACCAGTGCTTTAGTTCTGAATATTTTAAAAACCAAACATACTTTAAATTAACCAATATAAGGTATAGTAGCATTACCGTGAGCATGCAGAGTCTTTGGAGGGAACATGACGAAGCTCACTGTATTTCCTCAAATAAGCTTTTAGGTGCTTAGATAAAATTTCGGCTTAAAGGAAGGGCGCTTGTTGGAAGGAGGGCGCTTAATTTAGGGGGCACTCGTTGACATAGCACAGCAGTGGGACAAAAGTAAAAAGAACAGATAAATGCACATATAAAGGAACTATGGAATCATTTGGAGATAGAAATAGCTGGAACAGGAAATAAACTACTCTCTGGTATGATTCTGCTGTAGTTGAAGCTTGAAAAGTTGTATATAAAGTGGCACTAGGAACAGGATTTTATTGTACGCCTATTATTTAAGAAAGTGAAGAAGCCAGAAAGGCTTTGTTTGACATTATGGCCTAGGAGGTGGGTGCTTTCTTGGGGAGGGCACTTAGAAGAGCAAGGGCACTTATTTCAGGAAATTTGGTAAGAGTCAGGCTTATTAGGAGGGGGTTTTATTAATTTAGGTGATTTTTTTTTTTACACAGGTACATAAGGTAATGTTTAGCATGTATAACTGTTGTGTCAAAGCAAGGCACCAGCAGGATTCAAAATGGTCCTTGGTTGTTTGCATCTGTGCAACTCTCTCACAAGTGATGGTCTTGGGAATTATGCGCAGCTTTGGTGTGCTTTTTCCTGTATTGATGGCAAAGTTTGAAACAAACAGGGAAAAAACAGGCAAGTGGGTCACTTAACCCTTTAACTCCCAAGAGTGACCAAGACAGAATTTCTCCTTACAATATCAATACAATATCAAGCAGACAAGCAATGAGAATAGAGAAAAATAGAAATTAGGGGATTATAAGTTGCTCCAATACCAAATTCTCCATGCTAATATCACACGAATTGTATGGTAGACAGTAAGGAGAATTACTAATGAGATCTTGGGAGTTAAAGGGTTAATGCATCCTTAGGAGAGTGGTATCAACTTTATTATATACCACACTATGAAAAGATGAGCCCACTGGAAGGCCAGGAAACTGTTGCAAATAAATTCGTTACTACTTAAACAATCATGGCTTACAAGTAAGCACAAGTAAGCAGCAGCTCATATATTCAATGATATTTCTCAGTGATCTGTTGTTGTCTCAGTGTTTTAATATTCCATTAATTGGAAGTGAAAGTATTCTTAAAGTGATTGTAAAAGTAGGTCAAAATTCTTTGAGGAAACTCCTTTTAAATCAGCTTCATTGATAGCACTAGAGTGTCCTTGAGCAGAGATCTAATAAGATGGAGCAAACCAAATTTATTAAAATACTTCTTCATAATTATTACTCATTATTTCTTACAGCTTGGGTAGGTTCCCTCTGCTTATCACTTGCACTATTTGCTGCTCCATTTGTGGGACGTCTCTCTGACAAGTTTAGTTGTCGCTGTTTGATCATGACTGGAGCATTGCTGTTTGTAACAGGACTTATAGCAACATCATTTGTTAACAACATTGCAATCATGTTCATCACCTACAGTATTCTTACAGGACTAGGAGCATGTTTCTGTCGTACGTCATGTTTTTTAATAGTGGCAAAGTACTTCAACAAGAAGCGATCATTTGCCACAGGGATTTTAACCATGGGAGCCAGTCTTGGAATGTTTGTATGGGGCCCTATAACACAAGTCCTACTTGATTCATTTGGCTGGAGAAACACATATAGAGTGATGGCAGCTTCATGCACCCTTATTTTCATCTGTGCTATGACTTTTAATCCCAATGTTGAGGAGAATGACTGGGAAGCAGCAGGGAAGCAAAAAATAGGAGAGAGCAATGATAACAATGAGGAGAAAGATTACTGTGGCAATGACTTTGAAGCTAGGAGTGAGGAAATGAAAATTCTTGATTTTTCAGTATGGCAGATTCCCCAGTATTGCATACTTGTTTCTTCATTCACACTGATGTTCTTGTGTCGTTTCGTACCCATGGTTCATCTAGTAAGTGATTAGTAAGTGATACTAAGTGTGAGATTATGTTAGTAACCCATTGACACTTAAGACTGACTATAGCATTTAATTTTTCCCAACAGTTATGACCCCTGAATCACACATTAAGATCACAAGGATAAAGTGAATTATTATAACAACAAAGAAATAAATAAGCTTGTGATTGTTTAACAAATTCTCCTTGTCAGCACCTAAGGAAATGTATAGAGAACATTATAGAGGATATGTATACTGAGGTTAGGGTGAAAAGGATTAAGGAGACTCAGTCTTTATGGCTCTAAATATGGATCCTACACACTGTTTTCCACGCACTTTTTTTCTATATTAGACCTATGCATCTGGTCTAAAATTGAACACTATCTACTAGATGTTAAATTGTCTCACTATTCATCACCTTTCTGCATGAAATTCTATTGACATTGTAAGGTGAAATTCATTTTTGGTTACATGTAAGGGTAAAAGGGTTCTTGCAGGGTGTTTGCTTTAATCAGGGTAAAAAAACTGCATATGGGCACAGCCAGGGGATCACACTGTCAACAGAAGGTACTCACCAGTTTTGGCCTCCTGAATATGGTAGTTTGTTTGCTTATAAAAGGCTTACAAAGAGGGGGTAGGGAAGGGGGGTGTCCTTGGGCGTTGCATGTACTTACTCTAAGATAAACTTCACAATCTACAAATTAAAACTGATCATTCAGAAGGGTCTTATACTCCTAGGGCCAGTTTCTTTAACAAAGTTTAGCCATAGTTTAACAAAATGGCATCCTAAACAAATCCTCAATTTTTTCTTAACCTTTTTTTCCAAACATTTATCTTTGAGGACAGTGTCAAGAGAGCTGAAAGTTAACAGTGGAAGGACAGTTATTTAGTTAGTTTAATCAACCTTCTTATATAGAAAGCCTGAGGCCCACTGGTTGCAAAAAAAATCTTGGTTTGGGTTAGACCTCTTGTAATATTACTGGCATGTGGAGTCCTATAGCCAATAATATCGTAGCAAAAGTGACCAATCTGTGTTCACAAGTACCAATACTCAATGGACAAAGGGATTAATCCTTAACCCTTTAACTCCCATGTGTGACCAAGACAGAATTTCTCCTTACAATATTAATTCAATATCAAGCAGACAAGTGATGTGAATAAAGAAAAGTATCAATTTGGGGATAATTAGTTGATCCAATACCAAATTCTCTGAACTAACATTATAAGAATTGTATGGTTGACAGTAAGGAGATTTTAAAAATTTGATCTGGGAGTTAAAGGGTTAATTGACTTTGATGATGACTTCCACCCAGGTTGATAAAAAAAAAAGTTGATCACAGCTTTCTCAACTGGATGATTAGACTTCACACCAAACTGATGTCTTCTTTGTTTTCAGGCCAAGTACAGTGAAGAACTGAACATTTCACCTCATCAAGCCTCATTCTTTTACATGTTCCTTGGAATCTCATCAGGCACATCTGCATTTCTAATTGGCAGACTGTGTGATGTCAAATGGATCAATATACGTTATGTAAATCAGCTTGGAATTTTGGTTTCTGGAATCTCTACACTGCTCTTACCACTTGCTAAAAACTATCTTTTTGTTGCATTTTATGCTGTAGTGTTTGGGTTCTCAGATGGAGCCTTCATCACAACACAAAATGTAATTCTCTTGAATATTGTTGGGCCCAAGAGACGAGCAGCTGCATTTGGGTTTGGGTGCATGTTGTGTTCACTGGCTTTAGCTGCTGGTCCACCTTTAACAGGTAAGAACTCAGAAATTTAATATTTTTAATCATAACCATTACAATTTCCTCAAATGTGATTGGTGCATTGACTGCTTTATTTTTCACTATTCATTCTGTTTCATTCATTCACTAATTGGGGCTTCTGTGAAAGTCCCGATTTTGAAAACTCCTATACTTATGCCGTGCATGGCTTTCACAGTCTTTCCTGAACTGTCAAACAAAGAAAGACAAACAGGGATGGCATAGTAATACAAGCACAGGCCTCCCACTACTGTGTTGGCACCAGTTCATTTGATGAACCTGATTAGACATGAGCAGGCATTGAGTTTGTTGTTGTATAATGACCTCACTCGCTGTTTAAACAAATCAATACCCAAGCAAGCAGTAAACTTGCATTACTGACCTAATTGTTTCTGCTGTTACAACTGAAATATTTGATATTATTTTTTGTAGGCTTCATAGCTGACCAACTGGCTTCATACAAGTTTGCATTTTACACAATAGGCTCTCTTATTCTTCTCAGTGCAGCTATTCAGATGCTTCTGATCTGCTTTGAGTCTCCATTCAATAAGACCAAAGGAGATAGTGATGCTGCTGTGACTGTTAAAGTGGTTACAGTCTCTGAGAATATCTGCACAGAAAGTCAACATGGGAAACCTGACGATAAAGAACTCCTGGGAGGCCTTTATGTAAAATCTCTGTTGAAAAAGAACAGCAACATCAGTGCTTCTGTGGAGAGTGTCCAGCTCCTTTAAAATTTTACACCTTGACAACAGTATGTACATTCTCCATACTGCTCTTTATAAATTTACCATGATACTGAGTAGGAGAACTTCTTTAACGATCAAGAATTTCTTAAGTTGGCTACTCTTTCTATCATTCTTATGACCTTGAAGTGTTTGGTTCAATGGTGATACAATGAGGAGGAATCAGTAGGGATTATAACCCTTAACTCCCAAGATCTCAATAGTAATTCTCCTTACTGTCTGCCATGTACAGTTCTTGTGATGTTAGTTTTGAGAATTTGGTTTTGGATCAACTAATAATCCTCTAAGTTATATTTTTCTTTATTCTCATCACTTAATTGTCTGCTTGATATTGTACTGATATCACAATTGCATCAAAAGGAGAAATGCTGTCTTGGTCACTTATGGGAGTTAAAGGGTGAATGGAACACTTTTTTCAGAATTATTTTATAGTTATGTTATAAATACCCTTGGTTTATATTAACTAACTTATAATCATGATAGCTATAAAAAATCATGATGATTCTTATGATTGCAATGATAGTCTAGATAATCATAATTGTAACAATTAATCATGGAAGTGGCAGTGAATCTTGGTGGATATTGGTGAATATCCATCACTTTCACTGATACTGAGGTGAATACTTGCTTTTGTGCTGGATATACCACATGGATACAAAAAAATATTTATTTCTTCTGGATAATATACTGAAGAGTGGCCAGAAATTAAGTCTTGTTGTGTGATTTTGTCTCATCAGCTACTTAGAAGTGCATGGTATTTACTATTCACTAATGAGTCAGCCCATCTGAGGGCAGTAATGTTCACTTGTGTGGTATATGCAAATAATTATTATGATTGTTAGATTATTTAGTGAATGAAATTAGGTTAAATCTGCAATTTTCTTGGGATCTAACAATCTAGAAATTGAGTAAAATCTGAAGTACTTTTAAGAATACAGTATTTATGCCTTTTGGCCTCCTTTTCATTTGTGGCTTGCTCATTCCTTACTGAAAGAACTCCTTCAAAACAAGATTTATTTTTTTTACTTTTGGTTCATTCACATTTCGGCTGTTAGTCTTAATTGTGGAGTATTATATTTACCTTTAATAATAATCTACATTGCATTCACAACAAAATTCAACTTGATCTCCAGAATTGAAATGAAAAAAATATTTATTTTTGAAGTTTTACCAATGATGAACTATTTATTCTTTTAAGAAAGTTTAAGCTTGTTTGAATATGATTGTTTGCACACATTAGAGACCCTGTAAATGGTTCTTGGGATACTGAATATTTGGGTAAAAAATTTAAGGGATATGGGTATTTCAGTTAAATAGTGATTTTTGGAATTATGGGGATACAATCTGCAGGAATTAATGGGGTACATTATTGTTAATAGTAAGTTTAAAATTAATGAGATGCAGGATACTCAGAGCCCCCTAATGGACCCTACATAAAGGCTTCATCAATTTGAATGATTAAACTTAAGTCACAAATTAAATGTTAAACAAATGTCAGTTAGCTCTGCATTGAAATTGACATTACTGTTTATCCACAATCAAAATAACATTGATTAAAATTTGGAATTATACCAACTACCAATATATCTGGTTTCCTAATCTTCTGTTTGAAAAGGGTTCACATCGATATTACCTACCCCAGCCAAATAATCCGACAAAAAGTTGCAGGAATTTTTTTGTTGTTGGTGTCATTGAAATACTGGTAACATTTCTTGGGGAAAGGAAAGAAGAAACAGCAATCAGCCTCAAAGGATGTAGGGGTCAGGCAGGGGTTGACTTTGCTTTCTCAAAATTGCAGGGAACTGTTTGGACTACTTAAAAATTCTCAACATTATTGACTTAGTGAGCTTACAGCAACCATGTTGATAGCTATATAACATCGGTAAAACGTTTTTTTACATGGAGTTAATGATGCCATAAAGTTAAAGATGTGGTATTGACATCCTTAAATTAATAACTTCATTAACACCACACCACAGCCTGTTAGTCACATATACCATATCTCTGATTATAAGACCAGTGAAAAGAGTCATCATGAAAAATTATGTCACTAGGAAGACCTTTAAGTTGTCTTTGGTGAGATTAATTGTGGCTGTAACTTTTCAAAGAGGTTAATTGTTTTCCTTTTCCTTGTTTACTTTACAGAAAAGAATGGCAAGGCAAAGATGTAAAATTTGCCCCTTAAAATTTGTGACAGCATGTATGTCTTTTTCTCTAAAATTCATGGGTGAAATGGGATGAGGAACCCTCTCCCCTCCCCATCATATACCTACTGTGTTGCAAAATAGCTACTACAATTGTTACTCAATTACCTTTAATTTGTTTTAGTGTTGAAATAGCTGCTGAAATAAAGAATCATGCGACTTGTGACCTGCATTTAAAATCCGTCACCATTTTTTCATTATCTGCAAGCCAGGATTGGTTGAAAATTGGTCAGAAATACTATCATCAAGACCATTTTATTTTAGAATCTGATTTTTTCTTGGGCATTGCCATTCTTCTACCAAATTGAAAAAGTCAACAAAATTTGAATGCTTCAAATTTTATTCCCTCCCAATGTTACATGAATTTACAAAGCAATAATATAAATATTGTGTTTGTTATAAACCACTCTGTTTTAATGAAAGGACTGTATACACTCTGTAAGTTCAACATAAGGTTAAGCTATCTTATTCCATTTTGAACGCAAAACTGCTACAATATTAGCACATACCCCCACCTTTTAGAAGTTCAACAGACTAATAATCCATACAGTAGTAAGAAGTCAATTAGGCTTAATTAATGAATGAATTAACTAATTAATAAAGCCCTATTAGTTGCCAGAAATGTTTTTTCAGTGATAGTGTTGATTCATAGGGTACAAAGGCAGCCAAGCCAATGGAATTTTTTCCAAATGGTTACCTTTGAAGTTTACTATCTATTCTTTATTTTGTTTTTATGTTTGAGAGGGAAGGAAGGGTGGGGAAAAAAGCAGTATTGGGGAATGGTTGACAGAGTGGACAGAGTTGAGCAAAATATTTGATCAGGAACTTGGCTTGATCTGTCTGTACCTTAATCCCCCTGTGTGACTGCCTACATCTAGTGATGACCACACCCTGTTAAAGGGGGTCTTACACATACAATTTTGTCTTCATTTCTCTTTTAAGTTCCTGAAAATAAGTTCACTTTAGGTGTACGTAGTTCAGTAGGACATGAAAATATAGTTCTTCAAGTTACAATAACTTTAAATTACCACCAGGAGAGAGATTTTAACTTTACCAACAGGTACAAACATTGCACAAAGGAAATATTTACATGTGCACCACTCTGTCTTAAACACTCTCTGAATTGTTCCAATCATTAACAATATTACATTAAATAACACTCTTATCAGAAAGAGATAACTTATAATCTACTGTAGACAGCTTCCTTTTTTTTTTTGCAAATCAGATTATGAAAGCCATAACAAGAACAATGTTGAAATTGAAGCATCAATACACATTTCCATCCAGTGCAGAAATTCATTCAAAGCATTTCCCTTACATAGTTTCTTAATTAGGTATTATCCTTGTAAATTTTATAACCATTGATGTAAATTAATTTAAATGTGTTTTTGGCATCTGTACATAAGGGTTCAGTACTGGCTACCAATCTGAACAGCAGCTCAGTTGTCCACCACTGCAGTTAATGACTGAGTGGGCATCCAGGAGCCCAGTGTCCTCTCATTCCTGGTGACAAAATTTAATTTCACAAAATTACTTTACATATTTTTGTTAACACAGAAAAGTCAATGTAAATTTTCGAAGTTAATAAATCTATCAAGGATAGCAGATACATAAAAAATAAAATAACAATAATCATCATCATCATCATCACTTTTATTTTTGTTGTTACACCAGTGTCTTTTTCTCCAATGGCACTCAATCTGTCAAATTTTGATCTCTACTACTTCCCTGTAGTCAGTAGTCATCTCATATGGCAAGAGCAACTGCTTTTGCCATGAGATGACTACTGACTACAGGGAAGCTTGAATCAGCTGGGAAGAAAATCATTATTTACTACAATTGACAATTTAACCCATTTTGCAAAGAAACTCTTCACATCTCATTGGCATAATTAAAAAGATTTCAGTTATAGACCAATTATACCCTTGACAAATACACTTGCCAAGAAAATACAATTGTCAAAAAGAGTAAATGCTGCTTTCAACATTACTCAGTTGTTACCATAAGCATATTAAAGGGAAGAAAACAACATGTTTGGGAAAAAAGTTTGGTTCTTGTGAAAGGAAGGAAATTACCCCTTTACACCCTAGCTTACACAGGTTATACAGGAAACTGCAAGTAGACATTTCCTTTCACAACAGTCTAATTGTTTAATTTAGAGACTTTAAGATGACTGCCATTTATAAAATAAATCACAGCTACTATGAGTGCCCTGATTGGTACAAAACCTATCATTTACTGCACTAAAAAAGTCTATAGTTATTTTATAAAAGCAGAATACAGCACTTCCTATCAGTTTACCAGCATAAGAGAATACATTAAAAAAAATTGTGTGCCTGATTGGCTGCAAACAAGTGCATATTTCATGTAACACAAGTACAAAGTTGTAATTTGAGTGAAAACTGCAAATAGCATGCTGCCGAAATTTTATCCCTCTTGACTTTCTGTTGTGTTTCTCATGTAAATTATTACTGAGTAACATGATTTCTCATGCAGTTTGGTGTAAATAAGCACTTGTAAATTTGTGAATACAACTTGCACTCACCCTCCGTGTTCGTGAAAATTTGTTGTTATTAAAAAATTTACTCAGGCATATTAACACCAAATTGCACACGAAATCATGTTGTTACCTATGCTAATAACCCACTTGGGATGTTGGAAGAACATGGAAAAAACTTGTAAATCATAATTTATTAATTGCTGAGTTCTCTCAGCATCCCAAGTGGGTCTTTATGCTGGTTAACTGACAAAAGTTAAGTGTGTTTCTTACAACTTTTAATTGGTAAAAATATTCATAAGCAGAAATTGCATGTCAGCAATGAGCTTCACAAATACTTACCACACAAATGGCAATGGCCATAACCTGGATAATAAGTCCCAGGAAGACCATGCATGTAGTTATGCTGGTAAGGCTGCCGCTCATAATCACTACCGCTGTAACGATATCCAGCACCACCCCCACCATTGCTACCATGGTTACCATGATACCTGTTCTCATAATACCTTTGGTTACCATAGTTGTTTCTTTGGTGTACAGCAGGGCGGTGCTCTTGAGCTTGACGGCCACGAGGTTCCCTG